GACGCTCGCTTTTCCTTCTCTGCCTAGCTCTCGCGTTTCCTCCTTTCCATCAAATTCCTTGACGCTGGACCAACCTGCTTTTTTATAATCGATGAAGCAAAATGTTCGTGGTTGCCTTTTGGCGGATAAAGAAGACGAATAACGAGAAGAGAGCGCTCGACTAATCTTAACATCTAAAATTCGCTTCCATGTGCTCATACTGCGGAAAATTTCCCAACGATCATTATGAATCCTTTACTAATTTTCTTTGATCGTCTGTCGCTTTGTTTCGTTCGATTTTCTTAGTGTCACATTCAAGGCCACGATAAAGAAACGTGAATAGATTTTTTTCTTCTTCTTTTTTATTTAATGGGAAAGGTTATCAGACATTACTTCAAGTATTTGTCCTTTGAACTTTATCCTTTGAATCAATTCGTATTATTCTTCTTTCACGTGTGACTTTTACATGTGAATTAACAGATGAGGTGAGCTATTAAAGCTCATGGAAAAAAATTAACTTTCTCACTCCAGCCGAACGTATTTGGCTGATTTTTCATATCAACTGTTTGGATGTGAACATTTTCGAAAATAAAAGTTCATCAAAAGTTATGAATGGCAATGCGTCTGCATGAAAATATTTTCGAAAACCAACTGTAAAATTGCTCCAATTTACGTATTCCTAAATTTTAAAAAGCTCTTTCATTTGTAGCTCTTTCTTTCTAATATTGTTTCTGTTTATGCACAAATACATAATGCATAAATAAAAATAAAACATAACATACACTATATAATGAGAAATGAAAAAAAAAAAAATAATAATAAACATCTAATTTTATGTATATGCAATTGTCATTTATTGAGATAAATGAATAACTCACTAATCGACATTTATATGGTCCTAAAAATCTGTTTATTTATAATAATAAAAGAACACTATTAAGAAAGAAAGAAAGAAATATATGGGGAGGTTAGAGTTATCGAAAGAGATGGAGAGAGAGAGAGAGAGAGAGAGATAGAGAGAGAGAGAGAGAGAGAGCGAGAGAATAAAATCTCTCTCAAGAACGTTTCGTTGTTGTCGCTGAACCTGTCAGAAGCAGACTTCTCGCTTCTGTAAAAATAATTACCAACGATGAGGGTGAGAGAGTAAGTAAGTATGAGATATATATATATATATATATATATATATATATATATATATATATATAGAGAGAGAGAGAGAGAGAGAGAGAGAGAGAGAGAGAGAAAAGTGGAAGTGAAAGGAGAGAAAAACACAAGCCACAAATACAAATACAAACCCTCTGAAGTAGATATCCTGGAGCCTAAGGCTATTGTGCCAATCGGATGGACGCCCCGAGGACGCCTCGATAAACACGAATGCTGGGCGCTAATAAAAATTCATTTGTCTCATCTGCAGTTGTTGGCGCATGAATTAAAAAAACCCAACCCCAGATTTTAAAAGGGCGTATGCATATTTAAATCCATTTAAGGAGTAAATTTTGCAAGCGACTATGCTCTTCTTTGTCTAAAATTACGGTGCCACTCATTATTTGCCGTTAGAATTTGGATTGACGTACCGTGATCCTACCGCTCGTTTTACTAATAAAAATGTCATTTAAAGTTGACTGCTATCGTGATTGAGGTAAATTTGTAAATGAAATTCCAGGATGTAGATAAAATCGACCATTAAAGAAATGATAAAGAGAATAATTATTGGCAGAGTACAATGTCATTTTATTAACTGTATCAAGTCGAAAAATTGAATGTAAAAGTCGAGCCTCGTAACTGTCATTTTAAACGACTGATTTGTTATAATCATATAAGAGTTGATTGTATTATAAATTTATAATACATTGAATGTATTAATATATATAGTTTTGGTCATCCTAAATGTAATAAAATAGCTCGAAATAAGTATATATAAATAATTTCTGTATTTTGATTTAAATATGTATTTTGAATAATCTGTAACAAATTTAAAACGTAACTAAATTCGTTGTTTAAATAAAACAAATTGTAAAGAGCGAGTAATTCTTATGTTGTCTTATACATAAAAATGTTTATTCCAAGAAATTGCAACCAATGTCACATTTATGGAATTATTTAGGCATTTTTAATTATTCAATGAACAATTTGTATTTACCTCGAATACATATATGTTATAATGGAGGGTTTGAAAGTATCACGTGGATCTTTAAATCTCAAGAGACTTGATCAATACTCACGGGATTTACGGATCATCAACGAGAATCCGATTTAGTTGGCCGATATTTATTCACAATCAATTGAAACACGGAAAGAGTTAATTTTTCTCCTACAGCCCTGGAGACGCGCAATTGTGCTTCTCTCAAACGACTGCCGATGAACGCGAATTAATGACTACGTAGGTTTTATGCACCTCGACACGCTATTACAAGAATTATGATGTTTACTGATCTTTCATTTCAATGGAAATACTTGTGTGGGGAATATCTTCAATACCAATTAACAAAGAAATCCAACAATTTTCTTCTACTATTTGTTTCTATCTATCTGCTACTGAACAATTACGAATACGTTAATTATAAATAAGCTATATAGATATTTTATTTAAAATTTTCATTCTTCCTATAGCATTCTTTTTTTTTACGTTTAACTTTAATTTTAAATGATACTATGAAGATATTTTAATAATTATAATCTTTGATAAAATTTTAACTCTTTTCAAAAAGAATTTTAAATACAAATATCCATTATTGCAAAATCAATAATTGATTGGATTATTATAAAGAATATATATTTATAACTGTATCGTGGTAAAAAATTGTAATGTATTCATTTTTCATCCTAAATTTCTTCTTCTTCTTCTTTTAAAAAAGAAATTTGATAGTATAATTTTCAGTTAAAAATTTTATCACCTTATTCTATGAAATTTAATAACTAAATTACGTTTAACCGTGATTTCAACCGAAAATACTATAATTAAAATGAATATCCAATCTTTAATATATCCCTTGATAAAATATATAATATAAATTGTAAAATAAAGAGAGTTTATTAAAATTAAAAATTTTACTCAACTTAAACCGATTATCAATATATCTATATATATATATATATATATATATATATATATATATACATTATGAAAGAATATTCTCTAATATATACAAAAGTTTATATTTTCTGTTTTTTTTATTTTAGAATCAGGCCACTGCGAACAACATAGAAGTCGACGCAATTGCAGCCAAGAATCACTTATAAAAAAAAAAAAAAAAAAACAAAAGAAGAAACAATACAATTAAGCTCATTTTAATAAGTTTGTATGTAGTTCTTATGTTAAGGATGTATAATAATAATGTAAGTGTTAAATAAACAGACATCGGTAAAAGATACATTTTATTAGCACTTTAAGCTTCTTTTTAATGTAAATACAATGAATTATTATAAATAAATCTGTAATTAATCATGTAATTATCGTTTCTCTTATTAAATATATCAAACATTCTTTCAATTTACTTTTTATTATATTGCTTCAAGCTGTATTAGTCATTATTACAAACAATTTTCATATAATATTCCCTTTTTTTGTAACATTATTAATCTTAAGTACATTAATAATAATAATAATAATAATAATAATAATAAAAATAATAATAGCAATACAATTGAAAATTATTAAAAATCAAATAAGAACTAGAGATGTTAAATTAATACAGATTAAAATCAATTGATCATTTAACTTATTCTTGTATTGAGTGAAAAGATTTTGTTAATTTCTATATCTGCTCAATGTTTTTGGGAATTAAAAATTTTAATGCGTACGATTTATAATAGAAAATTATAATGCTATCCTAGGTTTTCCTTAATTTTTTAAATCCAAGTTAAAAATTATAAATATTGTCATTTTTAAGGATATTTTATCACCAGCAGCTTGAAAAATTATAATTTACGGATTATTTTAACTAGGTAAGTGAAAATTGATTTCTCAATAATTTCATAAATACAGGAAGCCCAAAATATATTTTCAATATTTATCGAATTTTATCGAATTCCCATTTCCACACAGCACTTTCTTTAATAAACATCTTGAATCACAGAAATTGTGTTAAACACATGAAAGTAGCCACTATATCGATCCTACAAACGATCTAAACGGCCATAATGTAGTGGAAATACATTTTTTTTTACGAAGAGTCGAAATTCATTTATAATAAATTTAGCGTTTCAATGGGAAACGCTAGCGATCTGAGATCTAAGAAGGCAACATCCGCCAAAACTCGATGCACGCAACTTTGATGCCAGGTTCATCATTAAAACGCTGTTGGATTATTACTCACTCATGCCGACAAAGTGCTTCGTAGGTCATGCGCACTCTCTTATACGAGCGCTACTTAATTAACAAACTTCCGACGCTAGCAACTACTACTCTAATTAGAAATGGTTTAGGGCAAATATCGCAGAGAAGCCTAAGTTCCTTGCGTACATAATTCAATACTCTCTCTCTCTCTCTCTCTCTCTCTCTCTCTCTGCCCGTCTCTCTCTCTATCTCTCTCTCTCTCTCTCTCTCTATCTCTCTCTTCCTCTGTAATCTTTTATTTCCTTTGCAACGTCCTTCTATCAACTAATTATAATTACAAGTGCGTTTTCTTTTAAATGAGAATATAGATAGAAAGTTTCGCATTTAGAGTAAATGTGCATTTGTATGTTAAATTATATAATCAATATTAATATTAAAATTTTATTGTGACATTAATTATCAACCGATAAGCAATAAACAACAGAAATAAAGTATTTCATTGTTGGTATATTTATTTTAGAAATCATTGATATTATTAATATAATTTTATAATGTTTTAAATTATTCGTTAAATTAAATTATCCAATGAACGTCCTCATAAGTTTATTAATAATTCAGCTTAAATATAAACTTAATGGCCTAATTTGTATTAGCAATAAAATGATTATCAAGATCATTGAAAACAAAATTGGAGCAGACAACCTTTTTTTCCCTCTTTTGTCTGCTTTCCAAAGGTTATTTAATGTATGTGTGTATGTCCCTCTAGAGATGTAGCACAGCTATGTTCACTTTGAATAGAATTCGTCATTCTTTATTTGTCTTTCAGTATTATTCCCTTGCATAACGATAGAGTAAAATAGATAGATAGATAGACAGAAAAATATATAGATGAAAATAGACAGACAGATAGATACATAGATAGAGAGATAGAGAGAGAGAGAGAGAGAGTGTGTGTGTGTGTGTGTGTGTGTGTGTGAGAGAGAGAGAGAGAGAGAGAGAGAAGGAATTTAGTTGTATAATTGTAATTATTTATAGTGTTTCTACATATTTCATAAATTTTATAATAATTTTCTCTTAAGATTCTTCAATCATCTCTAATTTATAAATAATAATTTATAAACATTATTTCTAATATATAAAAACTAAAGGAAACAATATGTTTAATATTATGTTTGTAACAGTATTTAATAATTCTCTAAAAAAAAAATTATATTATAACATGATCTTGTACTATCGGTTTTTTTACATTTCTTTTATTCGTACTACTCGAACAATTTTTGATAATAAGAAAATTTCTAACTCAATGTTTATCTGAAGTTGGATAATTAAATAACATAAGCAATTTTTGTAAGCGTTCAAATTTTATGATATAATATATTATTTTATGAAAGAATTACAAAGCATTGACTAAAATATTATATATTTAACATTTTTTGTCTTATATATAAATAATACTTAAACTATATTTTAGAGAAATGAATTATATTATACGTAATAATGGATTTTAAATTCATGTACTCTGCAGTACTTTACAATATATTACAAAATTATAAATACAATGGTCAAATTGTTTAATTTTGTCAAAAATATTATCTATTACTTTATTCCATTAATAATTGAGAAAGATTAATAAATGATACGTATGATGAATTCAAGGATTATAATTAATAATAGTATTTGATTTATATAATTTGTTATTGTATCCTGTTACTTTAATAAAATCGATAAAATATTGTTCAATGCTTATATAAGAAGAATATTTAGGTCGGTTGTTTAGCCATATATAACAATCTATTTGGTTTTGCACACAAACACGCGCGCGCGCGCGCACAAATAAAAAAATAATGCTTAAAATTTGTAACACCTCTCCAGGAGCCTTATAGGAGAATAAAATCACAAAAATTATTTACTTTTTACATTTATTTAAAATAATTTGATACTACGTGTTCTAATAGACGGTAATATAGCATGCATAGTAAACATTCTACCACAAATAAATAATAAATAATGTGCAGAGAATGGCCTTATAAAAGCAAATCAAGATAATATGAGGAAGAGAGCGAGAGAGAGAGAGAGAGTGAGAGAGAGCGAGCGAGCGAGCGAGTTGGCGAGGGTGGGAGGGAGGTTAAGCGAGTGAGAGAAAACGAGAGGCAAATGAGCGAATAAAGGGATCGAGAGCGAGAGCGCGAGCGCGTGCGGCAGGGGGAGAGGGAGAGGGCGTGAGAGAGGGAGAGAAGGAAAGTCTACGGGAAGCGTCGGCCCTGCGCGCAACTGCGACGAAGTTCCAGTCCCGCCTGATTGGCGGCTGCATACTATCGACCAACCCGCGCGCTCTCCTTTGTTTTAACCAACCACCCTCCGCCTTCTTCCCCACCACCACCTCCTACTCCTCGGAGCTTCAGCTGGTGGTGCGCGCGCCCGAGCTCTCCGGAACCTAACCTCAAACCAGCCTCGCCACATGACAAGCAACGCCGGAGGAGTAGGAGTAGACGTCGGCGGTGGCGACGGAGGTAGGGGGAGACGTGTCTCGCGCGCGCATTTCTCGAGGCTCGTCTCTTTCAATTCTCGCTTTTTTCTCTTCTCTTTTTTGCGCCCCGTTCATCTGGCGCTTTTTTCCCTTCACCGTCAGTTGAGTTAAGAAAAAAGACAGCGCTTACGATGGCGCCCCGACGAGTGAATTTTACAAGGGCGGTGCGCGGCTGGTGGATGAACTTTTTGTTTATGCTAAGTTGGCTACAGCTTTCCGCACAGGTATAGGAATATTTTCAGAGTCAAGATTCGACGTCCCGGGGCTCGAATGTTTGAATTTGCTTTTTTTTTTATATCCGCTAGTTTTTACTTTAGTTTCGGAATTCGTGGCGGATTAAGAAACGAATTGGTTTATAGGCGACAATACTTTAAGCATCAAGTGCCACATGCTTGACTAGTTTTTTTGTTTTTTTTTTTTTTTTTTTTTATTGAAATTTTATAATTTGTTTGAAGAATTTATAGTAGACGAATGTAATTTTCATATTTTTGTGTCAAATGCGCGAAAGTAATACGTAACTTAAAGCTCGAGCTTTGTAATTTCGGCAAAATACGTCTGACTGAATCCATCACCTTTCTACTGCTACACTAATAATTATCACGAATCATTTTCTAAATTTTACATTTTCCAACATAATCCAGAGAGAAGAGCTCGATTGAACTTTAAAATATTTGGAAATATTATAATATACTACCGTTCGTACTTTAGCAATAAAAACTTTCACCGAAGATTTATATTCACATTAAAATTACATCATAAATAAAGATGTGTTATGCAATTTTGCAAATATTTCTTAAGAGTAAATAGATTTGCCTATACAAATTATTATTCCAAATATTTTTTTAAATATCGATGAATTTATTAAAATTAATGTGTAATGATGAAATTGTAAATATAAAATTATTATTGATTAATTAAGTTTACATAATTAATTATTAATTCGAATTAAATTGTAAATAATCATTAATGAGTAACAATTGTTCGATAGCAAAATTTATATGAATATTTGCATTATAAGAAAAATACATATGAGTGCGATAAACATTTTCTTTATATAATAATTAAATCGTGTTACCTTTTATACACAATTATACTGTAATTACACTGAAATTATATTATAGTCGTATGAATAACTATTTTTAAAAAATCACAAAAGTAAAATCATATGGACTTTTATGTAAGCCCTTATGTAATTGAGAACGTCATACGCTTATCTTCCTAATCTTTGTATAATAGAAAAAAAATTTCTACATTTTACTACTTAAAAATAATCACGATCCAATGTTATTTAATGCTCAATAATGTTAAAAGAATCAATGCCTGAAAATTATGTTTTAGATGCAATAATTCCAAGCCGATAAATCTGTTCATGACGAGAAAAACAACGTAATTCACGAGTTAATTAATAAAACTGACGCCAAGAATAAATCATCGGCATAAGAAGCATT